GAATACCCTTATAACACAGAATGTCAGTTCTCCTGCATTGAGGGCTATAAACTCGTTGGCTCTAGCTTGAGAAAATGCCAAGACAACGGGCTCTGGAGCGGTGGAGGGGAGTTTTATTGCGAGAGTAAGTTAAAAAAAGTATTCTAGAAACGATTTTGTTTTCAGACGCAATGGCTTTTGTTAAGGAATGTATTGAACGATACTCACTTTGCCCAGGAAAAAGAGGTCCAATACGTCTGGATGGAGAGACGCTTAATGTTCTGTGAAGAAAGAGCCTCTACTTAAACACCCAACCCAGAGAGAGATATATCAGACTGTTTTTCTTTATCGCTTTCAATCTTTAGGGATAATATGTGATTCTCTTCAACTTCCTCCCAATGTGAGAACGAACGGTTCTTGCAACCGGTTGCCAGGCAACGGTTGTCACTTTACCTGCGAACGAGGCTTCAACTTGATTGGCTCAGAAATCATGTGGTGCAATAACGATGGATCATGGACCGGCACGCAACCTCGATGTGATGGTAAGCTTACACAAAATTGAACTTATCCTTTGAAAATCAGAGCTAAAAAATCCAACCAAACAAAGGCTCGAATCCTAATTTTAGATCCTTTCAAATCCCTAGTGTGAAACTTTTTGGACACATTCACCAAGGCGTTTGAAAACAACCACATCTCCTCCTCTGAGACTAATAAAAAAGGCGTCATGATGAATTTTTGTGTTTTGTTTAGTTGTTACCTGCCCAATGTTATCATTACCGACCAATGGTGTATTCTTGGGATGTAACACTAATACGACGGAGATGTTATATGGCACAGAATGCAGCTTCTCTTGTAAAGAAGGATCTGTAGCGACTGGTTCAACAAGAAGGAGATGTACGGAAAATGGAAACTGGACTGGAACAGACCTTGAGTGTACAGGTATAAGAGATCTGGCAAAACTCTGAATCATGAAAAATTAAAATAATCATAAGTGCCATTCGAGAATCCCGCCCACTTATTCGATTGGCGATCTTGATAATTAAACAATTCAAGGCCATCGAAATTTTTTTATGGTTCGCACAAAGTTGCAGCAATTTTTTGTTATGTTTATGCGGTCCATCTTACAAATCGATAATTCATCGATCATTGATGTACCATCGTTAAACGCTAGATAATAACTTGACCATCTGGATCGCCAGTCGATACAGGTTCGTCCACAGTACTTATGCTCGCAATCATTTCAGATCCGTAGTTGATCTTAATTGTTGCAGCAGACTTTATTATGACTTTGAAGTTGATTTAATATATCCCTACATGGATTGGTCAATCGACATACGATCGCACCATGTAAAAAAATTGACGATATTAGATCACGAGTCGATGAAAGATCGTCGATAGTCTTATGACTGGGATTCGCAATCATAGTTGATCGCTACAGTCGATCTAATATCGTTGCGTATTCCTTTTTTATGGCTACACGGTCCATTTCGTAAGAATCAATCGACGTGGAATTGAAAGACGCATTAATTTGACGATCATAGATCGAGTCGATACAAGATCGTCAGTGGTCTTAGTCTGGCATTTTCGTAACATTCTTTGCTATGGCTTCGTGGTCCATCAAATTTATCTGTACCTGAAGCGATCGATGCGCGATTGTGAATCGCACATGATAACTTGACGATCTTGGATCATTAGTCGATACAAGATCCTCGATAGTCTTATCATTTGCAGTGATTTTAGATCGCAGTACTCGATCTAACATCGTTGTGTTACTATTCTGTATTGCTTATGTCGGCTGATCCTATGTATCTGTGCATGAATCAGTCGACTCAAGGTTCATCAGTAAGGAGATGCATGGAAAATGGAGTTTGAAATGGAAAAGATTTTGAATGCACTGGTGTGAATTTCTAGTCACTTTGCATCATAAAATTGAAACGATCATAACCATAGTGTCCAAGTGGTAAGGCGTCCTAGTGCGGAATCTGAAGTTCACTGCGGGTACGATTCTTCATGGGAGGTCAGAATTTTTTCTGTCACACGCGCGTGACAAGGCAAAAACCATCTTTCTTAGAATTAACGTGGTTTAATCGCAAATTTTGACCTCTTCTTAATTTGATGAAAGTCTTGGATCACTGATGATTCTAAGATCTTCAATAATCAGTTATTTCTTGGTTCACCATGACTGTGGATGACAACGGTCAGGCGGTCAGAAATCATTGACGTTTTAGAATGGATGGCCACGCCGTCTCTCTTGCATCTACAGATGAATGAAACGACTCACCTTCTTAGTATGCAAATTTATAGGCGATTTTGGATCGATACAAGATCATCTATCAACTTTTTCTGCTGTGCCAAGTTTGTAGATCGCGATGATTGATCTAATAACAGCGCAGTATTTTTAGTATGGAACGCAATCATTCTTAGGCATCTCAAAGAGAGAGATGCATGGATCTTTTGTCATGCGATCATCACTAAAGACAAATTGATAATGATCGTCTCTGTCGGTAGTATCGTTCCTGTTCCAAGTATCGTTGACCCAGTGACGATACATTCACCATTCCTCCCTTTGTTTTCTCTTCGGCTTTTTTCTTTTCCTAGTTAATATTTAAAGTGCCTCTCAATCGAGCCTATCCTAGTGGTTCTTATATTCCTCAATCATATCTTCCCTCGATTTTTTTGCAAGAGGTAAGCCTCTCATCTTCCCTTTTACTTAAGTTTTACCTGAACAGTTATAGCTGACTGCATCTTGTTTGCATGTAAAGGGGGCTTAATCTTTATTTCTAGTGACTCTCTAGTGACTTCTCAAGTGACCTTCGTGGAAACATATCTAACATTTGCTAACATTTTTCATACTGAGAATGGTCTTATGAATGAAAGGTCAATATTTATATTTATGTTATCACTGATTTTCTTTTGAGATTTCTTTTTCTGAGTTTAATTCGGTCAGTAAAATCTTCAGCGGGAAACTTCTGGAAAAATAAGCCCCTTGTAAGTCTTCTGTAAACACCTACAATGGTCAGATGATGGTTGGGAGGAACTCAATATCATGCTCTCACAAGATACAGGATGCCTTTGGAGTTTTAGCAGGTAATTGATTTATTTCTCCAATATAATATTTTAGTACAAAAGACTCAATTTAAATTGGTCATAAGTAAAATTTTTATGTTTCAAAGCACCTTTCTTGTAACTTTCTT